CGACCTTTAAACTACATTTAGATGAAAAATACTAAAAATTATAAACTAAACGACCTTTAAACTACATTTAGATGAAAAATACTAAAAATGCTACAAACTATAAACTGCATTTGTTAGTTTGTCTGTCGGTTAATTTTTTGATACTTCAGGTTGTGAAGAGTTTTTAGGAACAGAATAAAAGCTGTTCCCAAACGATGTCCAACCATTTTCAATGTTTATGAAACAAGTAATAAAACTGTGGAGAGCCTGAGCCCCCCATGGTTTACAGTTTTATCCCGTCAGCCTTGAATCGGCTCCGTTTGTGACATTTAACGCTCCTGAAACTAAAGTTTTCTTCTCTAACCATTTTTTATGTCCTTTAATAATAAGTGATCCTCAATCGACCACCTTACATAACTGCTTAAACATACAAATATTTAAATAATAAACTACCTAAACTTTTAAAATGATCTTAGCCTGAAATTAAATTTGAATGTATTTTTATTTTTTTACTCTTTAAGGGCTTTTAGTTTTGAAAAACTCCACATTTCAGTTAAAAAAACAAACGGACGTTAATTTTATGTCGATTTTTGAAACGAGAGATGTTTTCCTCCACTGTACGCCCAAAGGGTCTTTGACAACTTTTAAAACTCTGGTGTGGAGCCTTGTTTCTGGTGTAATTAACCCCTGCCCAGATTAAACCTGGGTACAGTCTGACTCAGGCCAGGATAATCTGTAACTGGGGTGGAAAATAGCCTAGGCCAGATTATTACCCCCCAGGCCAGAATATAGCCACACCCATAAAGACCCATAATCTGGCCTGACACCAAATGTTTACAGTTTTAACTTTCTCACACCTGACGATGCTGAACCCCAATAAAATGTTGAAAATCAAGTAATTCTTGTGTTTATGACTCAACACTACTGACATGTTGGGATTATAATCTGGCCTGAGGGGTAAGAATTGGCCTTGGCCACAGTTTACCAGAGGTATAATCCAGCTTAGGCCCCTTTGACCCCAGGTATAATCCAGACTATGGCCTGTTACAGCGGACAAACCTCAGTGGTTCAACATGGAGGCGTATTCCATTTTTTTAAACTCTACTCGTGCACGCCACTTTTTGTTTTGCTTTTACTGAACCGGGTATAAAAAGTCTGAAAGTACCACCGAGTAGCACCAAGCCTTGAGGTTTTGTACTCCAGGACGTGCGTGGCAGGTGTGAAGGTGCCGGCGGAGCAGACGTGCTCACCCTCGTGTCTCTGCAGCTCGTCCTCGTTCATCGGGTCTTTCGTGGACATGTTGGACAGGAGGGTTCTGTTCTCCTCCTGCAGCTGAGCGATCTGACAGAGCAAATCCTGAGCTTCTCCTCGCCACACGTCCTCCACCCGCTCCAGCTCCTGTACACCACACACACGTTACACACACACACGTTACACACACGTTACACACACACGTTACACAACCAACAGCCCATGTTTCTGTGGCCCCCCCAGCTGCACCTGCGGCCTTTAAATGCAAACAAACTAATTAATTAATTCAAACTGTATTAAATTACTTTCTTCTTTCCATAAACGTTGACACACGTCATTATGACCATGTGAAAAAGACTTTTGGAGATTGTTGTGAATTTATTAAGAATAGAAAACTAAGACATTGCGCAAGTATTCCAGCCTTTGGATCCTTCCTGTTTCCTCTGATCCTCCTTGAGATGTTTCTAGAACTTCAGTGGAGTCCACCTGTGGTACCTTCAGCTGCATGGACTTGATGTGGAAAGACACACCTGTCTATAGAAGGTCCCACAGCTGACAGTGCACGTCAAAGCACAAACACCAAGCATGAAGTCAAAGGTCTGTAGACCTCCAGACAGGACTGTGCTGAGGAACACATCTGGGGAAGGATCCAGAAACATTTCTGCTGCTCTGAAGGTCCCAATGAGCTCAGAGGCCTCCATCATCCATAGATGGAAGAAGTCTGGAACCACCAGGACTCTTCCAGCTGTCTAAACTGAGCGATCGGGGGTGAAGGGTCTTAGTTAGGGAGGTGACCAAGAACCTGATGGTCTCTCTGTCAGACATCCAGCATTCCACTGTGGAGAGAGGAGAACTTTCCAGAAGGACAACCATCTCTGCAGCAATCCACCAATCAGGCCTGTATGGTGGAGTGGCCAGAAGAAAGCCACTCCTTCATAAAAGGAACATGGCAGCTTGTCTGGAGTTTGTCAAAAGGCACCTGAAGGACCCTCAGACCATGAGAAACATCTGGTCTGATGAGACAAAGACTGAACTCTTTGGTGTCACGTTTGGAGGAAACCAGCTCATCACCAGGACAATACATCTCTTTCTGATTATGGGCTATGGACCAGACAGCTCATTTTTCTGCAGGACAACGACCCAAAGAACATGGCCAAGATCTTCAAGGAGTGGCTTCAGGACCACTCCGTGAAGGTCCTGGAGGGCCAAGCCAGAGTCCAGATTTGAATCGGAACATCTCTGGAGATATCTGAAAATGGCTCCCATCCAACCTGATGGAGCTTGAGAAGTTCTGCACAGAAGAATGGGACAAAGACATGTGCGCTCTGCTTGAAGCTCCATCTTCAAAAGACTGGAGTGATGCCGAAGGTGGAGCAACAAAGGCTGTGAACAGGTACACGTGATTTAAACACTAGTTTAACAAGTTTACAGATCTTGAACAAAACACTGATGTGGTGGTAGCTGAGAGTCGTTCAAAATGTTTGTAGGGTGAGCTCAGTGTAAAACTGTGGCTCTAACGCAGCGCACAAGAAGACGTGCATTAAAAGAGCCACTCCTTTCGAGGCATGTTTCCATTTCACGTGTGACTCATGAGACAAGCTGTGATGACTCAGTCTGTCACGAGAAACTGACATGAGAACCGTTTACAGCTCCCAGCTGAGCCGCAGGCTCACTTACTGCCTCTGCAGCACCGGCACCGAGTCTGCAGCTTAAAGGGATCAAACATTCACTTTAGGATCCATGAGCCAAATACAAACAGAATACTGGGTTAGTATATTAGTACACAGGCTGCCCTGAGTTCTTGTTAGTGTATT